CTGAGTTGAGATCTGGAAGCTACGTAGAAGTACTAGTTATGCAGGAGCATCATACACTTTGGCCTGGAGTGTAAGAAAAAAGAGTAAGAGAAATAATAGCTATCATCCATTGAATAATTACAAAGTGCCTGACATTGTGTTAAGTATCGTTCATATACAATTCTTGAGTTCTTTCAACAGCCTTGCCAGTTAAAAATTATTATACTCATTTTAGAGCCAGTAAACTAAGCACAGTTTCAGAAACATGCCCAAGGTAAGAACTGTAAGCGACAGAGCCTGGTCTATGAAATGCCCAGCCTGCTAGTTAACCATCAGGCTACACTGTCTCCAGGAGGCCCGGGCACCCGGCTAAAGCATGATGTATCAGAATGGAACAGGTCTCCAGTAGGTTCATTAGTAAGAAAACAAATGAACTTTAAAAAATATGTTTATATTATCCACAGGAATGGTAGAAATATCATCATAAGACTCACGTATAATGACCACTACAGTACATGCAACACCCACAGTCCTAATGATAGTCGAGCCCTAAGCAACCTGATTTTCTTTTTTAATAATCCTCCTCTTTTTTAATTTTTAAAAATGTTTTATTTATTTCTGAGAGAGAGAGAGAGAGAGAGAGAGCATGAGCAGGGGAGGGGCAGAGAGAAAGGGAGACACAGAATCTGAAGCAGGCTCCAGGCTCTGAGCTGTCAGCACAGAGCCTGATGCAGAGCTCGAACTCACAAACCACTAGATCATGATCCGAGCTGGAGTAGGCCGCTTAACCAGCCGAGCCACCCAAGTGCCCCAGCAATCTGATTTTCTATACACCACACACATGCACCCACCTCATTACCCACCAAAGACAAGGCAAACAGGAGTAGATATTTAACCTTGAGACGCTAATGTCCAGACTGCCAATAGCCTCTGAGGTGACCCAGCCGAAGAAGCTGCACCTTGACAAACAGGCATAGATTCAACCAAAATCTCATTCTCCACAATATACCTGGGTAATAGAAAAGCTCAAAGTCTTGAAGTGTAGAGAGACCAAAGCTATGCCAGGAGTGTAAACATTATTAAAATTAGAAAAATCTAGTGATGCAGGTGATTAAAAGGTACAAAAACTTTCAGTTATAGGATAAATAAGTTCTGGGAATCTAATGTATAGTATGATGACTATAGTTAACAATACTGTATCATATATTTGAAAGTTGCAAAGACAGTAGATTGTAAAACTTATCACAGTTGATGAGATCAAGCCCCGCATCGGGCTCTGCACTGACGGTGTGTAGCCTACTTGGGATTCTCTGTTTCCTTCTCTCTGCCTCTCTCCTGCTTGCTCTCTATCTCTCTTTCTCTCTCAAAATAAACAAACATTAAAAAAATTTTTTTAACCTGTGTCCAAAAGCCTTTCCCCTAACCTACATTATATAAACTTAAACCTACATTATATAAACTTTGATGCTTGTTATGCTATTTGTTTCAGTTATTCTAATAAAAGATGTAATTTTGTCAAGACAAAACAAAACTTCATCAACAAAGAATAGAAGGGAACTTTCATAATCTAATAAGGACTCTACCAAAAACCTCACACTAAACATTATGTTTAAATGGTGATATGAACAGATATGAAATATGCTATATGCTGTTTGTAGTAAAGTTAAGAACATGGCAAGGATGCCCACTATCACTGCTTATATTCAATTCTTACTGGAATCCTAGCCAGTGCCATTAAAAGTTTTAATTAACTGTACTTAATTTAATATGCTTAATTTATTGAAGTACACTTTTTTTTTTTTATTTCTAGGAGAGAGAGAGAGAGAGACAGCATGAGCAGGGGAGGGTCAGAGAGAGAGGGAGATACAGACTCTGAAACAGGCTCCAGGCTCTGAGCTGGCAGTCAGCACAGAGCCCGATGCGGGGCTCGAACCCACGAACCGCGAGATCATGACCTAAGTGAAAGTCGGATGCTTAAACGACTAAGCCACCCAGGCGCCCCTGAAGTACACTTTTAATTAAGCATACTTAGAAGAAGAATTGAAAAGAAACAAAATCATCACTATTCACGAGTCATGTGATTGTTTAAAGAATGAGCAGTAAGTTTTAGAACTAATAAGAGAGTCCACCAAAGTTGCTGGATTTGAAATCAATAGCAGAGGCTGAAGAGCCTGTGATGAGTGTCATGAACTGAAGTTCCAAGAAAGTGGATAAGACAACCCATTAGTACAAAGAAGAGAAGCATAAAGACCTAGAAAAGAGCTGGGCCCTAGAATGAAGACCACCAAGCCTTGCTGACTGTGCTAAGCATCTCCTGCTGCAGTAGAGTGAGGTCTTGCACCTGTGAGACCCAGCTGCACCAGCCGCTGGGCCTTTGACTCCCATATCTCCCTCTTCCACATACTCCCCACAACCTCCTGTCTAAACTAACCTGGTGAACTCAAAAGAGCCCAACTAAAACACACATAAATATGAAAAGTAGACACATTTTCCACATTTTCAGAACTGGAACAAATTACTATAATGAGTTCTAAATTTCTACTTCTACTTTTTATTTATTTGTAAAGTCAGTTTTAATGATGTTATCATCAGAGAGAAGCAGTAGTAAAATCTACAACTACAACTAATCTCTAAACCATTAACACATGGTTTGGAATATATTATGGATCTTTGTAGTAGGTACAAAGATACATACTTCTTCTGCCCAAGAAGTATCATTATATTAGACAGCCTCTACTGTAATACTTGAACTTCAACAGCTACCCCCCTCAGGTAGGGGAGCAAACAAAAAGTGCTCAGTGCCCTTTATATTCTTTCCTATTCATGAAGCAAAGGATTTGGATGATGACAATACTATCATAGGTTTCCTTCAACTTGGGCTCTATTGCAAAAGCTCTACTTCTTTCATTATTCAGAACCCACGGTCCAGTATAGTAGCCACTAGTCACATGGCTACTGAGCATTTGAACTGAATTAAGATATGCTGTAAGGGTAAAATACACATTGATTTCAAAGACTTTATATAATAAAAAGAGTACATAGTCTCATCCATAGTTTTTATATTGATTAAATATTGAAAGAACATTTTATATGTGAGTTAAATAAAATGTACTATTCAAATTAATTTCACCTGGTTATTTTAACTTTTTAAAAATGTAGCTACTAGGTTTGAAGGGGCATATGCGCCCCAATGTTTATAACAGCACTATCAACAATAGCCAAATCATGGAAAGAGACCAAATGTCCATCGACTGATGAATGGATAAAGAAGATGTGGTTTATATTTACAATGAAATATTACTCACTGATCAAAAAGAATGAAATCTTGCCATTTGCAACAACGTGGATGGAAATAGAGTGTATTAAGCTAAGGGAAACAAGTCAGTCAGAGAAAGACAAATATCACATGATTTCATTCATATGCGGAACTTAAAATATAAAACAGATGAACATAAGGAAAGGGAAGCAAAAATGATATAAAAACAGACAAGGAAACAAACCGTAAGAGACTCGTAAATGCAGAGAACAAACCGTGGGTTGCTGGAGGAGTGTTGAGTGGGGGGGATGCACTAAATGGGCAAGAGGCATTAAAAGGAGGGCACTTGTTGGGATGAGCACTGGCTGTTATATGTAAGTGATGAATCACTAAATTCTATTCCTGAAATCATTCTTAAAAATGTAGCTACTAGACATTTTAAGTTACATATGTGGCTCACATTTGCAACACACACACACACACACACACACACACTCGCGCGCCTTTTGACTTTCTAGATCAGTACCGTCCAGTATGTACGTGTATGCATATATTTTAAATTATATATGTATTATACATATATATAACATTTAAGACATGAACAAATATATTTATAAGACCTTTTTTATATCATTTGATAGCAAATTCTTACAAAGACAGGTGCAATATAACAATAGTATGAAAGAGGCATCATTTATTGAGCTCCAGCTTTGTGATGAGAATAGCACTAAATGCTTCAGATAGATTATCTGTAATCCTCCCATTAGGAAGTAGTCTGAACGGAGACTGTGCAATTTGCCCCAGTCACACTGCTAAGAAGTAGCTCTGAATGTAGGTCTGTCTGAGGCCAATGTCTGCAGCACCCTGTAGTACTTCAGATAAGGAAATTGAGAGAGGCCCTGTTTGGAAGTGACCAAATGAAGCTGGTCTTACGAAGATGGTCATTATCCACTTTGGGCAAGGACTATCCAAAGCCATATATCTATCATTAAGAAAGTGCTTCTTTTTTGCTTTGGACACTGTGAAGCAGTTTTGAAAACCAGCACACCCACCCAACCAGCCTGAGGAGTGCACTGCTCACCCTGCTCTGAGAAAGAATCTGCAGAAAGGACACAGAGTGTGAGGGGCCACATAGCAAAGTGCACCAGAAGCAGCAAAGCAATGGTGTCACGTGAGGTGTGGTTGGCTGTCTTCCGTGCCACCTCTCAAGTGAGTTCCTCTGCTCCATCCTTGGTGTGGCCAAAACTTCTGACCCTAGTCCACCCTGGCAAAATGCATCCATAACAACACCACTAATGGAGTGGGAAGTTTAATTCCCAAGGGGAAGTGATGCTACCACAGGAGAGAAAAGCAGAGTTGCCACAAAGGTTGCCAAAAGAAAGAGCCTTCTAAAATCTAAAATATAATGTGCCATCAAGCTTTGGAAAAATTAGGCATGAAATACTTTGGCATTCTTCATCCATCTTCTCCCCCACCATGCCCCCAGTCGAACAGGCCACGGAAGTCTACAGACATCTACTCAGCATGGTCACAAGTACCCACAAAAAGCAATTTTCCTTCCTGCAGCAGTTGGAAAAAGTGGGGTGGGGGAGATGGAGGAGGGGGGAACTGGCCAGAAAGAAAACAACAGACAAAAAGCTCAGTGACTTTCAGACCTGAACCTAGGAATTTTTGAATGGTTCAGAATGGGACACTGTCACCTCTGATTTAATTAAAAGACGGTTTTCGGGATGCTGAAGGTCTCGGCTCATAATCAAGCACTTACATAATCCTCCTCATTGAGTCCTTGTTTCTCAACAGAACTTTTCACCTCCATGGAAAACTTCTCGAACTCCGGCTTCACTGTCCTCAGTAGAGTGATTGTCTGCAGGGATGAGTATGCTTGCTTCGCTTCAAAGTCATGTTTGTCTCCTCTCTTCCACGAGCCATCTCCTACAGAGAAATGAAAATATTTATAATTCCAAAGCAGTCACCATAAAGGGACCATTCTCCCTCTTCAGCTGCAGCATGTCACTACATGTTACTGTTGGCAGCTGGGGTGAGCGGTATTGTCATAGTTTTGCACTTGGATATAACACGACCACGTCAAGATCCTCAAGGGAGAAGAAGGCCTTTTGGACACGTGTTTCTTTGAAATGGGAGAGGGAAAGGAAAGCACTGTGGACTTCACTGCCTCAACCACGTAACTGTAATTTTCAGCCCCTCGAGAATCCAGCACTTCAAGGAGTTAGAAGTAAATTGCTATTCCTTTCCAGTCACAGTTTTTTTAATACCTACAATCAACTGTGGAGGTCAACTGAGTTGTAACTAACAATGGCACAACAAGCCTGATGTTATGTAGATGTGGAATGATAGGAATGTCTGTTTGTGACAACGTACATGCACAAGTATAATAAAGTTGGCACCATTCATAGGGAAAGTTTGACATTATTGGTATTTTTTGAAATATTTCTGGAATCCCTTCCGAATGAAAGTAGCTTAGGTGAACGTGAGGATTTATAGCTCCGTAGTGTTGGCAACATCAAAAAAATTATTTGGGGGACAATATTCATCAGTGCATCAATCGTAATAGAATTAAAAGTGCTAACATTGGGGCTCCTGGGTGGCTTAGTCGGTTAGGCGTCCGACTTTCACTTAGGTCATGATCTCACGGTTTGTGGGTTCGAGCCCCGCGTCGGGCTCTGTGCTGACTGCCAGCTCAGAGCCTGGAGCCTGTTTCAGAGTCTGTGACTCCCTCTCTCTCTGACCCTCCCCTGCTCACACTGTCTCTCTCTCTCTCTCCTAGAAATAAATAAAAAACATTTTTTAAAAAAGTGCTAACATTTATTGGACATATATAATAACAAAAGCTCTGTTTATTGCGCACTTTATATACTATTTAATCTTATTTAATCAAATTCATTTAATCTTTACAAGACTCTCCGTGATTTGGGTACATTATCCTATTTTACAGATGAGGAAACTGAGTCATTGAGAAACCGGTACCCCCTGCTTCACAGCACTCCTTTACACAAAAGCAAAGGCAGATTATATGGGTAAGAATCATGTAATCTTCTCTTTATAATTTTATTTTTGAGGAAACATGTGGCCTGCAGGACCCCTAAAGGAAACATGGGCCTTTAACATTTGGCAATAAACTGTTGTTTCTATGAATTATCATTATGACCCCTAGAGAGCTCTGGAAATACAACAAGAATTCAACCTTCTGGAGTTCAACATCACAGTCAGTTGTTCACACCAAGCCCCTAGTCCACAGTGGACACCAGGAGCCCAGCAGCTAAGCAATGAGGATGCCTGTGGAGTATGCAGCCAGGGCTCTGGGGCACTCACTCTGCTCTTCTAGATAGAGTTCGATAAAGAGCTGGTGGCTATGGAACTTCTACCACAGCTTAAGTCAGACAAACATTAGCTACCTGTATACCACACACAAGGTTCTGTGATGGGCAGCACAGGATGCATTATGAGTGTCTTGAACAGTCTCCACCACCATCTAGAGAGGGCTTCAGAGGGGTGCCTGAGTGGCTCAGTCAGTTGGGCGTCTGACTCTTGATTTCGAGTCAGGTCATGATCTCATGGCTGTAAGATTGAGCCCCCATCAAGCTCCACGCTGGGCATGGCACTCACTTGAGATTCTCTCTCCCTCTCTCTGTCTCTCTCTTCCTCTCTCTCTCTGTCTCTCTCTCTCTGCCTCTCCCCAACTCATGTACTCACTCTCTCTCCCTCTCTCTCACTCTCAAAAAAAAAGAGGAACTCCGAGATGGTCATGTAAATAACTGAAGCTACTACAGGGTAACAGCTAGCTTACTATGGCAGGAGGCAGGGTGTAGAGGAAGAGGCAAGGAGCTCCCGCACTCCTAAGGGGGAAGGTTTCAAGGGAGGAGGGTGGAGGAGGCATCAACTGGTCCCAAATGTGTGAATAGGATTTTAAAAGAAGGAAAGCAGGATGGAAAGGCATGCTTGGCAGAGGTTGTGACCCAGGCAAAGGTGCAAATGTGTATGACATCCAGTGGGCAGCTGGGAGCCTCAGGCTAGAGCATGAGAAAAGGCAGAGACAAAGAATTTGTTCATGGGGGCATCTGTGTAATCATAATCCTAATAATAGCAACCATTTATTAATTGCTTACTATGTGCCAGGGAGCTGTTATAAGATAAATAAGACACGGCCGAGGATAGAATTCATTAAGAACCAGATCCGCTCTCAATGAGCACAGATTAAATTTCAGGCCACCAAACAAAGCTTGACAAGTCCTCCTCCTTCATATGAAATCTCCCACAAACACCAAGGAGGCTACAGCATGTACAGCAGCTATGCCCATAGCCAGTGAGCTGCCCCCAGCTACTGCCACCAGACAGGGGACCCAGCCGGGTACTCAAGACACAGGCAACACAGCCTTTGTTAAGGAGCCAAATCCATTTGCCAGGAAGACCCCCAATTCTAAGAATGTTCAGAACATTCTTCATCCCACGGAGGAACCCATTTCTTATAAGCATGCAATCAATATTTATTGATTCATTTATAATTGATTGAGATATCAAGACTCAACAGGAGTGATGTTTGTAGGCAAAGAGGGTCAGAGTTTCACAGCTCTGGGAAAAAGTATTCTCCAGGTGCATAAGAAAGAAAATACTTAACCCTAAAGGGTTTTATGCTGTGGAATTAGAAAATACATATATAACTGGAAACAGTAACTATCTCAGTTATGAAATAGGAAAACACTCTTTTCTGAAAGAAGTGAAATCCAATATAAGAAATCTGTCTACCACAATCCAAAGAGGAATAACTTTGGAGTTTTGTCTTCCAGGAAAAAAAATGGAAACAATAATGCTTAAATAAATCTGAGCCAAACTAAATAATTCTCTAGTCACAACCATAATCGATACTGTAACTTCTGGCTTTTGTGGGCATTTCTTACTGTAATGTGTCCGTAACATTTCCCACACCCAGGCTGTCGAACACTGGAAAAGCAGAGTTGGCTTGGCATGATGCCCCATCAGCGAGGACAAATTTAATTCAGTAGACAACTGGGTGCCTCTGGAGATTTACGAGTGTAACGGAAGAATGACATGATCAGAATCATGCCTTGGGAAGTAGCAGTGGATTAGAATGGGGAGACGCTGAGGGTTCACAGCCACAGTCATCCAGGCAAGAGGTTACGAGAGGCTGTCATGGGAAGTCACACACCGAAAAACTAAACATGGCTCTTCGGGTAATTAGAATTACAGGCAAATTCTCTTTTCTTCGTTTTGCATTTTTCTGAATCTAGTAAATTATAAATAATAAATAGTTACTGCTTTTACAATCATAACAGGGAGAGTCCTTGAGAATGAAAACAGAGGACAGTGCAAGAGGAATCTCAAGACTCTCAAGAGTTAGGGAGTGAGGGACAACAGAAAGGGAGGCACGTCACTGATGACGCCAAAGAGGAAAGGAAAACGGGATGTTATTAAAGGAAAGAGCAGAGCCAGATGGAGGAGGAGGGAAATGACGTGGAAATGGCAATGATTTCAGTTAGGGTCATGGTCGACCTAAGGTGACTAACTACAGAATGCCCAAGTGACAACACCAGGCTGGAGTCGAAAAGAGTGGTCTGAAGCCAGAAAGAGGAGTGAGTGCTAGAGAGAGTGCTGGATGCCATTTCCAGGTGGCTTCAAGTGAAAGAGGGAGTGACTGCATTGGATAAGAGAAGGAAGAAGGGTTGAGCACAGACACTTTGTGGATGCTGTTTCCAGTGGGCAGGAGGAAGCGGAGACACAGAGGCACTAACAGAGAACGAAAGAATGCTGTGCCACGAAAACTAAGAGAAACAGGGTTGGGGGTGGGCAGAGAGGAAAGTGGGTGATGGACATTGAGAAGGGCACTTGTTGGGATGAGCACTGGGTGTTGTAATGGAAGCCAATTTAACAATAAATTGTATTTAAAAAGGAAGAAAGAAAAACAGGGTTTCCAAAAAGAAATGGGTGGAAACAATACAGAATTCTCTAGAGCTGTGCTGCCTAATACAGCAGCCACCATCCACATGTGTGACCATTTACATTTAAATTAATTAAAATTAAATAAAATTTAAAATTCGGTTCCTCGGTCACACTTGCCACATTTCAGGTGCTCAATAGCCAGGTGGCTAGTAGCTACTGTAATGGGCAGCCTAGAACAGAACACAGGCAGCATCACAGAAAGTTCTACTGGACAGCACTGCTTTAGAGGCAGAGAGGCTTGTTCTGAGGTAAGCCAGTGGCTTCGGTAGTGAGGTCATTGGTGATGGCACTTTCAGAGTGCTGAATGTCACATACTTCAGTGGTCCTGAGCAAGGGATAAAGAAGATAAAAATGAAGGCTGCTAGTAAAAAGTAAGACAGGAAAGATGATTCTTTGCAGTTTTTTCAGGAATGAGGGAAGTGAATTTGCTTTGTTTTATTATAAACATCGTGGAGTCCCAAGCTAGTGTTTAGAGTAAGGGCACAGAATATTTGTGAAATAGGAAGTAACCTGCTCACCACCAAGCCCTGCACTCAACATTCCTGTGGCCAGGGAGCTGGTGCTGGCAAAAGGTACCCGCACTGGGATAACTAGCTGAGGCACCACAGAATATGTCCGAGAAATGAATGCCTGGAGTTCACCTGGGCTGGCTGTATAGCTCTAGGCTCTTGACCTTGCCTCACTTCACCCTCTCTGAACGTCTAGGTGTTACACGCTTGCCATGAGCTAGGCTGGTCCAGTTTTGCCCCCATCAGTAATAACAGCACCACTTACTGGGTGATTCCATTGTGAATGGCATTGCCTGTAGCATTCCATTCTTTACTCTTCATAAAAACTCCATGAAGAAGATCTAAGTATGAGTGCCGCCTTACAGACAAGGAAACTGAGGGTCAAGGAAATAAGGTATCCGAAGTCACTTCACTGATCAACAACACTAGCGATTGAAATGCAAGCCAGAC